TAGAATCAGAGGGACGTACCCAGTCCGGTACATCGTTCCGCAATTCATTTCGTGCTTCGACGATGATTTCTGAGCCGAGCATATGGCGCCGCGCAGGATTAACGGGCAAAAATTGATTCAGAGTTCTGGTGCTGACGAGCGTACAAGCACATACCTGCTACTTCCATGGGGGTCGACGGATGGTGTAGGGTAAGGGTAGGTGATGCCTATATTCGGAGGATCACGGGACTGGCGAGTCGGCAAGCTGAAGGTGCGCGGCTGGGTCCAGTCCGAATGAACTAAGAGAGGCTCGAGAGAGAGGAACGGTCCAAGCTCCGCTAGTGATCGGTAATCCGCGTGCAAACCCTTAGCATTAAATAAATACCTCGTTTTACGCCTCGTGACCCATCACGCGTAATAGAGTGGTGCGTAGAAGTGGAGTGGGTATAATGGTCGATTGCAGGCCTTACGCCTCACCTCTGGGAGAAAAAGATCGATATCTCCATACTCGTTGCACAAGACACATAGATTGCAATACAGGCTACCTTTTCACTGCAGATAATTACATAACTGCTGCGCAAGACCTAACAAGGAGGACAGAAGGAGGGTTGATACAGAATTTGGAATGACTTTAATGTTATTAAGTCGTCTGTCTAGACAATGCCTTCTCCATAGATGGAGTCAAGCTCCGACATAGAAATTGTCCTGGCTTCCTGCTGGTCAAGCAAATGGACCCCCTCACCAAATTCAATGTTGAGTTTCGAGGCGGATCCCACCGTGAAGGTGGAGCGAATTGCACGGCATAGTTCGCGGCCATTTAAAAGCATTGCAGCCCTCGTAAATTCAGACTTTACACGGATTAGCCGCACAATTTGCAGGCTCGGCAGGTCACGACTGTGCCAGGTCCCTGGTATTACTTTGGTAAAACGTCCCATGTCGTTCAGCAACACCTCAACAAGTCGAACCTGGGAGAGAAAGTGCAACATTTGGACAATGACTTGCAGATGCGTCTCGGGCAGACACAGTGTCCCGATATTGGACGGAATAATGTGATGGCCCGCATTCATGAATAGAATGGTTACTCGCGATCGCCATTCTTGCAACGAGTGGTCAACGAGATGGACACGCATGCCGTAGGTCCTCTCAGACTGGGTTTGCGAGAAATATAGCCGTTGAAGAGCAGGCTGGGCATGCAGATCGTCGTCGAGTGGTCTTAAGCACAACTCGAGCATGCCAGCCTGTTGTGAGTGCCAATTTGTTAAGAGACGAGTGAAGTTGGGCATCAGAGGACGTCTCTTTGGATCGGGATCGATCAACGTGAGGTTCGGCACCAACTCCTCCGGAATAATCTGCTCCAGTAGATGGACATCGTCGGTGTGCAGTCGGTTGAGTTTTTTGAGCCAAGAATGCATCTCATTATCCAACTGAACCCGGTTATTATCTTCTCCTTCGGGGATAATAAGCCCCAGGCTAAGTAAGCCGGGGAACGCAGAAATGATTCGTTGTAAGGGCATGCCACGACAAAACTCCAACCAAAGAAGCTCAACGCGTTTGAAGTGCAGCGCGTCGCGGTCCGAAAATTCAATATACTGCAGGTGTAGCGTGGTCAGGTTCGGTGTCAGTACGTCTAAAGAGCGTGTAAGGGTGAGCGTCATTGAATTGTCGCGGCGACGGACAAAACCATTCCCGAGGATAGGCCCGCCGACTGGGCTGGACTCCATGAACACCACTGGCGAGTCAAACTGAGCAGGTACACGCTTTCGATGCAGCAAGGGCGGGGATGCAGCCTTAAGCATTCGGCGGAGGATGGTTCCTTTTCGTGCAAGTAGAGTTTCGGGGATGACAGCGACGGGTTTGTCGCCGTTGTGCTCAAGGACGTAGTGCTGGGCTTTATGTATGAAACCCATCATCAGACGGAGCTTGTTAAGCGATGTTGACCCTCGTCGTAATGCATCCATGGTGGCTGCCAGAACAACATCACTGTAACAGACGGAGAGGGAATGGACACGGCCAAACTGCTCCTTCAGCGCGGCTCTGCAGAACGATGCCACCAGATCAGAGCCCGAAAAGCCACAAGTAAATCCAGTCGCTGTGATACAGATGGTGATCCCTTGCTCGTTAGATGGTGCTCGCGCGAGTTGCGCACTCGCGAACGCCGTGCGGCTGGCCTGCATATCATCAAGGTGTCTGCTGCGTAGGACAATCTGCTTGTAGTATGACCCGTGGAAAAGGGCGGCCGCCCTCCATCCTGCACAGACGAGCGATGCGCGAATAAGGTCGGGGTGGAGCTCGAGAAGGTCGAATACTTGAAGCAAAAGCTCAAGCGGAAGCTGCGCAGCCATAGAAGGTGTACGTAGGAGGCAGAGGCTATCTGAGACCGTATTACAGCAATGGCAGGAAGGCCTGGTGGCACTGAATTGTGCGATTTGCGGGCCGGCACTTCTGGGGGTGGAAGAGAAGTCTCACGTCACGTTCAATGTCCGCCAGCTGGTGAGCGCATTGCATTTTGTGTCACCATGCTCAAAAATGAAGTCGAACGAGCAATTGATACACGCTCTCAGGACATACACAAGTATCGCCCACGTACAATGGACAGAGGGTCATCAATATCCACCACCGCCACCAAAGTCGCCTACGGAATGAGACGCTATCTGCCTGCGCTGCGACTCCTCCAGCTTCGGGCAGTTTGAAATACCGTGACCGAGACCACCGCAGACCGGGCAGCCCTTGAGGGTTCCGTTGGCGCTTGCGCGAGGATCCTCGATGGACAACAGGAATGGTGGTACTCTGGAGAGAGTGTTTAGTAAGCGGCAGAAGTAACTAAGTCTAGCGATAGCTCACTTCTGGCCGGCTTCCATGAGCAGGTATTTTAAGTCTAGCAACGTTTGTTCTGCCGTGTTCAGGTTGACAAAGGTCGTTGCAATACCAGTTTTGCCAGAACGGCCTGTACGACCGATTTGATGGACATAGTCTTCGATTTCCTTGGGCATCGTGAAGATGATGACGTGCTGGATCTCGTTGAAGTCGAGACCTTTAGAGGCGACACCAGAAGCCACCATGACATCTTTCTGGCCAGACTTGAACGCTTTGATGGCATACTGTCGTTCATCCTGCGCTGTTGAGAACGTCAATACCTCGGTACATCAAATGTCCGGCGCAGGACGTACTCTTAGAACCGTGAATAGCCACAGCCTCGACAGCTTTCAGCAATAAGTATTCCTGGATGTCGTCGACTTCGTTCTTGCTATCACTGAAGATGATCACCGGTGGTGGTGTCTTTTGGAGACACTCAAGCAAGTACACCATCTTCGCTTCTTGCTTGACGTATTCGACGACTTGCAGAACGTCCAAGTTCGCCGCACCGGCACGACCGACGTTGACCAAAACAGGCTTGATGAGCGACTGTTGAGCAAAGTCCTGAATCTTCCGAGGCATTGTAGCCGAGAATAGCAAGGTCTGACGTTGATGCTGAACTGGGTGTCAGCGTTGAACATGCAACTATACAACTTCACACGCACCTCGAAGAAACTCATGATGTTGCGCACATCCTCCTCGAAGCCCAAGTCGATCATCCGATCAGCCTCGTCCATACACATGTAAACGCAGCTCTCGAACGTCAGCTTACGCTTCTCGAGCATGTCGATGAGACGACCCGGCGTAGCCACGACTATGTGAATGCCCTTGTTGAGAACATGCGACTGCTCTGACATAGATATACCACCAATGCAAAGTAGGGTGTTAAGTTGTGGATACCCGCCCTTTGCCATCGCATTTGTCCAGTCAAGCACGTTCTCGTGAGTTTGTGTTGCCAACTCGCGCTGTACATGGATTGAGCATCTGATACACTTAGAGTGGTCACGTGAGAACTTACTGAGGGACACAGAATAATGCCAACGGGACCTTCGCCTTTCATGAAAGGCATTTTGGACTCCTCCTCCAATGCCTTCATGATCAAAGGTAGACAGAATGCGAGCGTTTTGCCGGAGCCGGTAAACGCAATGCCAATCATATCTCGTCCTGCAAACCTGCGGCAGTGTAAGAGTTGTAGCTTAGTTCGCACATAAAACTGGCCATACGCAGTGGGAAGCCCTTGAATCTGAATAGGTGTCGGCGAGATGATGCGTTTGGACTTGAGGTGCTTGAGGAGCACGGGCGGAATCTTCATGTCCTAAAGATCAAGTCAGTCATGGTGCGCTAGTGTTAGTGGAGAAAGTAGCGAACCAGGAAATTGGCAATGGGAGGCGGCACGTCATCACCTTCGATAATAATGTGATGCTTTTCCCGAATTTTGCGATGTTGCTCCTCCGACTGCTCTCGCACATGTCGCGGAGGTCGCCACCTGTAACAGTTCATGTACATCAGTATCCCAGCGCAAGTTTAAGAAGCGGAATGCAGCGTACGAGGACTTCATAGATTCTGTATAAGAGATGCCTTGAGCCAGTTCACGATCGGACGCGAGGTGCTTGCGGTTGGCAATGGCGGCCAAGATTTCGGCCTCCTCGTCCTCCTTGCGCTCCGCCTCAGTCTTCTGCGCGTCTGAACTTATCAGCACGCCGCGCGCGCAACGCGAGTGCATGGTACGCACCCTGGACGGCCTTGCGCTTTTGGACCTCCTGCGCCTCGAGCAGCAGCGTACGCTCCTTGCGCGTGCGTTCGCGGTGCGCCTCTTCCTCGTCGACGGCGGTTTGCTGTGCCTCGTCGGCGTTGGCGTCCTCGAGCTTGCGTTTTGAGGTGCTGGATGTAGTGCTCATGGTAACCTTGGAGAGCTTGGCCTGCCGTCGCTGGTGTACAGGAACATATGGAACGTAGTCCTCGTCATCATCAAGGCTGATGGCTTGGCCGGTTTCGCGGCTGGAAGACGCCATGGCGAAGAAGAGAGACAGTCGTGTGTTCAACTCTGCTGACTCGCGTCGGCGCAGTGCCGGTTCTCGTGCCGCTGAAATATGCCCAATGGCTGTCAAGCACAAATCGTGGCAGTACTCGCTCGCTGAAGCATAATAGACTAAAAAGCAGCAAAGGTTTGATAGAGGTGGGATTCGAACCCACGAAGCATTACTGCACCAGAACTTAAGTCTGACACCTTTAACCACTCGGTCACTCTACCCAACACCAGATCATCCATCCAAGCCATCTCTCAAGGTTTTGAATGAGAATTTAGTTGCTGCACTCTTACATTGTGGCTAAAGCCTGTGTGAATATTGTTCTGGCATGCGACGGCACCGCTCCGCTTTACAGAGTAATATCCAGAAGTTCGGTGAGCGGTGCCGGCAAGTTTGGGCCCACGAAGCGAGGTGGCGGCCGGGATACGTCCATACAACCCACCCCGTATTAACAAGCCGACTATCCCCTTTATTTCCCATTTGTTCACGCCGGTGAACCCGCTGAACGATGTTGCTGAGCCTCCGCTGGCACCGCAGGAAGCGCGATCGGTGAAGCCACCGGTCAATCCATTTCACTTCTCGCCGGAAGGATTCGGTGCTTGAAGAGCAGAAATCGGTCATCCAAGGGTCACCGCGGCCACAGCTGACAAGTGGCCGGTTATTCGGAGAAGCTCTGGTCAGCGAAAGACGATGAACCAACCCAATTGCTGTTGTTAATGAGACGGCGATCCGTGATGCCTACACCCAACGATCCGTCACCGGCGTCGTGGTATCAGCATTTACGAAAATCCCATTAGTGTCGTCCAAGACAGCAGTGCGCAGCCTAGAACTATGAAATCCTGTCCGCGTGTGATCCTGATGGAGGAGGTCGCTCACCACCATTGATGCAACACTCGATCAGATCGCACAGGGACAGGGTAAGGGCCACATAACAGCCCATAATCTATGTATGGATCGATGGCCATGATGAACCGGAGATGGACACCACGTCAACGGAAGCGAAGCGAGGCGCAATCTTCTCGGCCCCGCCATTCGTCCGATCGTCGCGCTACGAATGCATCCTCCATGACGGCGCAGACCCACACACACATACGCGCGTGAGGTGATCATGTGCGTACTTCCTCAAGTAGCTGGTTCGCGCGTCGAGTTTTTTTCCGACGATACGATGCGGTCGCGTTGTGCCTGTGCCACTGAGGGGTCACAGCGGCACCAAGTGCAAGCATGCACGACGCCCAGGAACCGCAAGGAACGGGATTCAAATCTATGAACAGACTTTGCCCGAGAGGAGGCCCATCGGGGCTGGGAAAGCTGGGTAGTAAGTTGGCGATGCAAGAGAGTTGCAGGCAAGACAGGCGGCGGCGCGCTAGCAGTTCCCCAACTTGCTCGGCGGCGCGTGGAGTGCGTGTAATCACGACCAGAAGCAAGTTCGGGTCTCATGGTTAGTTCATAAACGTGTTGGCGAGTAGTGTGACAGTCGTGCGACTGGGAAGACGTGAAAGCAAGCGGCACTCGGTTGTTAGAGACAGAGACAATGATGGATGGCGTTAAGGTTGGCTGTTGCATTTGACGAAGTGGAGCAGACGTGCGAAAGCTGATCATTTATCGCGAAGGGCGAAGGGAGTGAACTACAGGAAACGTGCGACAGAGGACATGCACGCAGGGGTTGTGCGAGAGTGCGAAGCGGTGGGGCAGGACACCTCGCTGCGGACGGCGCATGTCTGTGCATGTAACACATGGCATGGATATGTAGCAAATGGGTTGGGCGTGCGCTATAGTGACGCACGGGCGGCGTGGTAGGAACGAGGAAGGCACAGATGGTGTTGAGCACGGGTGGGATTCGTGCGGGGTAGTCACACGGCAAGGGTTTAGTTTTAGAAGCCCTTTTTCTGAAGCCAGGCAACGACATCTTGCTTGTAGTGGCGAGGCAGGCCGGAGAGTTGGAGATGTCGTGAGCGGATGACCTGGACGGAGAGTTTGCTGGCACGGTCCGCGTCGGTGAAAAGCGTCGACTTTAGATCCTCAGCGAGTGCCTGAGCGGTGCCGTGAGCTTAGTTGAGCTGAGTTGGCATCGTGTGACTGGTTGGACGTACGGCCACATCGCCGTCAATGTTGCGAACATGAAGTAGATATTTCGTGCCATTGTTTCTGATGTCAGAGTAGACAGGAACAGAGCCATTGGTGTTCCTCGGAACAAAGTAAGAGCCGCGTAAGGCCGTGCGCAGGGCAGAAGTATTCATTTTCGGCCAAGGCGAGGTCCAAGACGACAAGTGCAAAATTTGGTCCCTGAGTTTACGGATTGGATTGGGCTATGACCGGCAGCGATCCCTGCGGCGCTGCCATGGCCTTCTCAGCCGCTTGCCTCACGTCTCGTTTCCTCGGCATTTGGCCTCCCGCTTCCCGCACTTGGCCTCTTACTCTCTTCCACAATGCTCGGCTCGCCTTCCACCGACTCCGAGTCCCTGCTCGATTCGCTCTCCTCTTTCACCGATGACGCCGTCCACGTTCACCACAGTGACAAAGTCAAAGATTCGATCCCCTTTGCTCTCTCGCTTCTAGACACATCTACCAAGCCCTACGAATCCAGTAAGTGCTTGAACTCGTGCTCCTGTATCCGTCTCACCCGTCTCACCCCCGCCCGCAGCCTGGTCGTGGTACCCCGCACTCGAGCTCACCGTGGCACCCGTCCTCATCGACCACCGCCAGCCATACATCGCACCCATCCAGCCCCAGGCACCCCTCGTAGTCACTGCAGACGGTCTGCAAATCATCGCGCCCACGCCGAGGCACGCATACAACAAGTTTGAGGCGGTCATGGACTTTAACCCGGACGATCTCCTCGACGCCACCGCCCAGCCTGACCGATCGCTGGCGTCTCGTGTACCCACAGCCCTACCTCTACCGCAGTACCTGCACCAAACCGCGCCCATTCCTCCGTCGCAGCTCGGGCCCCAGACAGCCCCTGCGCATTGGCGCCACCCGTCAGCAGGCACCGTTGTCCAGCCCCAGTCTGGCACCTCCTTCGCCCAAAAGCGGTCCCACTCTGTCTTCTCCCGCGATGACACTGTATCGCAATTCTCGGAGGGTCTTTCTCCGAATGCCGCCCTGTCACGAAAGCGCGCACGCCGATCGCCTGCAAGTACCTCGACTGTACCACAACATTCATACTATCAGACTGCCTCTCGCGTGAATCATTCTGCATTGTGGCAGCACGCCCAGCCCACAAGCTTTTGTACGTCTGCTTTTGCCTTCCCGCGCGGGTGGCGTGCATTGTCCCTAACATTCTCACAGCGACCGCCGGGCAACCATTTGCTTACATGCGTTACGGTCCACAAGCCAGCACCACTACGGCACCGTCTCGTCACAACCGTCTCGCTTCTGCCAATCATCAACTTCAACTGCAACGATACGATACCCTTCCACGAACCACGTCGTTTGGCATGTCGTCGTTGCCAGTGACATATTACTCCTCCTTCTTCCCGACCGCCTCGGCACATCTATTTCCAACCACAGCACCGCACGCCTTCGCCGCAGGTCAGTGATCACCAACACTCGCGCATATCGTGATGGTCAAATCCCGGGATGCGACTTGGCGTGCCCGCGCAGTCGGTGATGCGACCTTGGGCTGTTCACTTCCATGCTTCTACGACCGCATATGCACGCCGGACTCCTCGCTTCGTCGAATACACGACCTGATTGCTGTTCCCAGGCCAGACGGCCTCCGTCTTCTCCACGGCGGGTTATTGCGGTTCCATGGCGCGCAGCCCCGCAGCCCCGCGCGTGGCTGACGGCATCTCCCCGGGGGCCGCTTACGCTGCACAGACGTTGCCTTTCGTACTCATCCACGCGCCATTTCTGGGTTCCACAAGTTCCACACCACGGTGCCGTACGTTTCCGTCTTTGTCTGCATCATTTGCATCATCACCCTTCCCGAACACTCGCACCGCACCCCGTCTATCTTCGGTCTCCGCCCAAGGGCTCGTCAGTTACCCCCTGTTGCCATCCCCATCCATCGCTAGCTCCCTACCTTGTTCTCACTCATCGCACGCAATCATCCCGTTCCGCACATTTGTTGTCGCCCGCGCTCGCCTTGCATCATTCTGTGATTTCCGCCCCTGGTTCGTTCCTCTTGCACGCATCGCTTCGATTCTTCACCAGAACTCTTTCTCTTCTTGTCCGATCTCCTCAGTTTCACACTCACCGCATGTGTTTCGTACTCCCAAGTCCCCCCCAGCCGGCATTTCGCCGTCACCTACTTTTACAATTCGTCTTAACAGTGTCCTCGTTGTCATCCAGCCCTCATATTCCCGAACCGCCCATCATTGTATCTTAGTACAATTCCCAGCCTCGACATTCCCACCCCACCCATATCCGTATCCGTATCCGTGCTTCCCCTGCTTTGCTTCGTTGTTCGATTCTCCCTGTGCAAATCTCCCGTGCAGGAACAGTACAATAGCAGACAATGTGCTTTCGATGGCACCCCATTCCACGCGTGTTGCGGTCACAACGACACATATCCAGATGAAGCGAGCTCTACTCCAGTCCTCGTGGTGGCGCATACCAACCCTCCTGAATCTTCGCATTCGCTCAGGATGCGCGCGAATGAACTTTGTGCTAGCGAAGATGGTCACTCTTCAAGTTTTTTAGTATGAGTGTGTTGGTTGGCTTTTGGCCTCGACCATGAATTTCACGCAAATGCGCCACACAGCACAAGTGGACAGGCGCGCGGCCAGAAACACGTTCAAATAGCTCAGAGTTCGCGTCCTTAGGCGTCCCTTCCTCACAGCGGCGTTGTCGGCGCTGATATGCAGATACGTGGCCCTGGCATGGCAGACACGCGCTGACAATCGTCAAGGACGCGCATAGGCCCGGGTCGGTCCTCTTGTGGTTTTGGATTTCCTCTCTCCGATAATGAGCGCCGGCACGTCGAGCGTGCGTGGCGACTCGTTCACGATACGATCTGAGTTGCCTTGTCGGTTTCTGGGGCCCCCATTGTCACTGCGTGTCGTGTTTTCTTTGAGTTTTTTTTTTGCACCCTCCACGATCGATCCCTACGGAGATCTCGTTCGAGCCCGTGGGACCACGGCGAGAAGGTGCGAGAAGCGGAAGCGGAGGTTCTGATCACAGCCATTTCCGCACCTGAGCTTCGGAGAGTTGTTTGTAGTGTCCCATTGTCCGGAGGGTGTCACAACGAGGGCGACCCGTGTCGCTGTATGTGGTCTAGCCT